AAGAAATATACATTGCTCATCTAGACCGCCCCAGGGATATATTTATTACACTTTCCTAGCTTCTTCTTCCTAGCGGTGGCGCAGTGGTCAGAGTGCAGTACTGCAGGCTACTTCTGCTGACTGCCGGCTGCCTGCAATTTGGCAGTTCAAATCTCATCAGGCTCCAGGTTGACTCAGCCTTCCGTCCTTCCGAGGTGGGTAAAATGAGGACCCAGATTGTTGTGGGCAAGAGGCTGACTCTGTAAACCACTTAGAGAGGGCTATAAAAGCACTCTGAAGCGGTATATAAGTCTAAGGGATATTGCTATTCTTTTTCATTCAATGGTACAGGTGTCATAACACCGGTTTTCCCACATTGAGTCCAATGGGTTGTCTGGGGAAAAAAAATAGCTGATTGCTGTTCCATCTGAGCACTTTATAGTCTTTTCCTGGAGCCAAAAAATCACTGCAGAATAGTTGTGGCAGGCTGCCCCGGGTGAAATTTAAACCTGCCCATGCTATTCTCAACCGGGGAGGTTGGAAAGGGTGACATGTCTTCATTTCTCTCTTCCAGAGAGAACATTTTGTCCTGGGCTTGGACAGCGGAAGCCAAACGGTGAGCCATCCATTTGCTTTTTTTTTGTTTTGCTTCGTGGGGATAAGGTGGAAGTAGTTTCCAAGCTGAATGTGTTTCTGCACCCTTGGTGGAATAATTACATCTAATCTGGTGTCAAGGAGAATCTACAAGCATCCACAGCAGCAGCTCCCAACCTTGGCAGCTTTCAGACGGGTGGACTCCACCTCCCAGAATTCCCCTGGGAAAGCCGGGGATTCTGGGAGATGGAGTCCACCCATCTGAAAATCTGCCAAACTTGACAAACGCTGATCTGCAGTTAGGCGAGGAGTCTGAAGATTAGAAATGTAGTTAATCCTCACTGCAGTTTAAATTTTAAAGGCTGGGAGAGAACATATTTTAAAGTCACTGCAGAAAGGTTCACCTTTAAGTGGCCCAGCTCCTCACTGTCACCACCATCTCCAACCTAATAAGAATTAATCTAGAAGCCCTGGAAGCTGTAGTATAGGGCAGGGGTCTCCAACCGTGGCAACTTTAAGACTTGTGGACTTCAACTCCCAGAATTCCCCTGGGAAAGCTGGGGATTCTGGGAGTTGAAGTCCACAAGTCTTAAAGTTCCCAAGATTGGAGACACCTGGTATAGGGAGAAGATTTAACCACGCTATTAAGATGCACATGGTTTTAATAAATGCTTCTCAACCTTGGCAGCTTTAAGATGGTGGATCTCAACTTCCAGAAACCCCCAGTATGGGGACTTCCGGGAATTGAAGTCCACATATTTAAAGCTGCCAAGACTGAAAAATACCAGTTTGAAACTTTTAGTTTCTTGACCCCATCACTTCCCTGAAAAATTCAAAAATCCCAGAATTAGCCTAGAGCAGTTTACAAAACATTACTAAAAGTGGAGTGAAACAGTTCTGCTTGGAATTTTACAGTCCTTGAGTGTATTGTAGTGTCATGACCCTGTAGGAGTCTGAATCCAAGGAGGAAGACGAACAGCTGACAGGGGGTGGGAGTGTGGCTGTGGAGAAAACTGGGGAAAGGGCAAAGTCTGGCTGGGCAGAGCAGGGGACAGATAGAACAAAGGAGAGAGAGTTCAGAGGAAGACCCAGGCCCACCCCCTCTTCATTAGCTGTGTTCCCAGCTGCAGCCAATGAAGGGAATCAGGGCCCTTTCCTCCCCTGTAAGCCACACAACTCACGTTGCTCCCTTTTCCGTTCCTCCCTGCGTGCCCTAGGATGAAGAGGGGGTGGGCCTGTCTCTTCCTCTGAACCCCCTCTCCCTTGTTCTACCTCTCTCCTGCTCTGCCCAGCCGGACTGTGCCCTTCCCCAATGTCTTCCACAGCCAACGGAGCCACACTCCCACTCCCTGTCAGCTGCTCGGCCTCCCCCTCTGAATCAGATTCAGACAGGGGCATGACACAAAGGCTGATCCTGGGAGAGTTTTTTCTCCAGCCCAGAAGGTAACCAGGACACTGGGAGCAAAGTTGGAGCTAATAAAGGGACTCCTACTGATTATCTGACTGTGTTGCTTTTGTGCTACGCCCCTTGGGGTCAGCACAGTCAGAACATGTTCATTGAAATCAGATTTATAAAGAGGTAAGTGAACATCCCAGGAAGGGATTGGGAGTTGAGCCCAACTATCAGCAAACCCTGTCCCCCTACCCACTTTTCTCCAGGGGTATGGGCAGAATGGGCCTGGGTCTCCTGGGAGCTGCGACTCGTTCAATTGTGTCGGCATTCAGTCCCACTTCAGCAAACGTATATTGGGTACAGATAGTCCTCTAGTTACAACCATTCCACTTAGTGACCGTTCCAAGTTACAATGGCACTGAAGAAAGTGACACGACTGTGTTTCACACAGCCCTTGCAAGCATCCCTACAGTCACGTGATCCAAATGCAAGTGCTGGCTGGACTGAATATGAAAGATGTAGATTAGGATCCAAGGGAGGCAAGTCAAAAAGAGAAGAAGTGAAAGAACGTCCAAGAGAATGAGCGATGATGGATAGGAAGGATTCTTATTAAAAAAAAACCAAGACTGGCTGTACTAAAAATTAGAATAGGTTAAAAAATTAGAAACGGGGGGGGGGGGGAATATTGTTATCCATATTTTTACATAATATATTTAAAGTGAATGTTAGAGTATAAAGATCAGATTTTGAAAAAGGGTGTTATATATTACAAAAAGTAATGCTATCGCTATAAGAAGGATGTAGCAAATATTGAATAATTGAAAAATGGATTATGTGCTGATACTGATAGCTATCTACATTACATTAGATCACGTAAGTTTGATTAACGTTGGCAATTTTTATTTGTATCAATATGTACTTTTTGTATTTGTATCAAAATGAATGACACTCAGACCCCACCCTGTCCATGAAATGATATTGATGCATGTGTCATGCCCCTGTCGGACTCTGAATCCAAGGAGGAAGATGAACAGCTGACAGGGAGTGGGAGTATGGCTCCATTGGTTGTGGAGGAAACTGGGGAAGGGCAAAGTCCAACTGGGCAGAGCAGGGGAGAGGTAGAACAAGGGAGAGGGAGTTCAGAGGAAGAGACAGGCCCACACCCTCTTCATCCTAGGGCATGCAGGGAGGAACAGAGAAGGGAGCAACGTGGGTTGCGTGGCTTACGGGGGAGGAAAGGGCCCCAGTTCCCTTAGGGCCCTGGGAAGAAAGTTTAACAGACATGCATGCTGAGTGCGGCAACTGCTGGGAGCAAACATGAGTTTATCTTGTGTTGACTTTGTGTTCCTGGCATCCACCCAAACGTGTTGAGTTATTGCCGTGTCTTCACATCTGGAATTCCTTCTCCTGCCCTGCCAGACTAATTACCTCATCTTGCCTTGATTGGACTTATAGTTTTTGTTGACCATGTTTTGGACTTGATTCTCTGCAGCCAAAGGCTGTTCCTGGGAGAGTTTTTCCCCAGCCCAGAAGGTAACCAGGACATTGGGGGCAAAGTTGGAGAGAATAATGGGACTCCTACTGATTATCTGACTGTGTTGCCTTTGTGCCACGCCCCTTTGGGTCATGTTTAAAAATAAAATAAAAATAAAATAAAAATTTACTCCAAAAATGCAAATACTTGGCAGCTGATTCATATTTACAACGGTCGCAGTGTCCCTGGGTCATGTGGTCCCTTTTTCCAACCTCCTGACCATCAAAGTCAATGGGGGAGCCCTATTCACTTAACAAGCGTGTGGCTAACTTGACAACTGCAGTGGTTCCTTTGACCAGGTCATAAAATGGGACAAAACTCACTTAACAACTGCCTCCCTTAGCAAACAGAAATTTTGGGCTCAATTGTGGCCACAAGTCAAGAACTACCTGTACTGACAAATATCACAACTATAAGTAAAGATGTCAGAGTATAAACCTGATTTCTTGCTTTACTGAAAGTCTTGGTTAAAATATCAACAGGTAGATGGATTTGGGGGCAAATTACTCTCTCTTGAGTTGAAATGGGGAATGACCTTAACCTGTTTTATCAGGAAGTTGCAAATGTTCCCTGAGATTATATATCACTATGTGTTGTATCTTATGGTTTATGATGAATGTATTTTTATGATGACTATGATAATCACTTATGGCTTTTATATACAATGAAAGCTTATGCACCAAATACAAATTCCTTGTGTGTCCAATCACACTTGGTCAATAAAGAATTGTATTCCATTCCATTCCAATCTGTATTCTGTTCTGTTCCTTTCCTTTCTATATTTTCTATTCTATTCTATGGTCTGTTCTGTTCTATTCCTTTCCTTTCCATCTGTCCTGTCCTGTCCTGTCCTGTCCTGTCCTACTCTACTCTACTCTACTCTACTCTACTCTACTCTACTCTACTCTACTCTACTCTACTCTACTCTACTCTACTCTACTC